ATATATATAGATAGATAGATAGATAGATAGATAGATAGATATGCCCATAATGGGTTAGAAAACAGCAAAAACCATAAACAAAACCAACTCTTTACTACAGCCTGAGAAACACTGGTCTAGATGAAGCCTATCTATGTCTAAAATGTTTATTCAAATGTATTTCTTACTTATAAAATATTTGTTTGTTTGCTTGCTTGACTTCATAATGGATACAGGACTATCAAAATCTTCCGAATTTCTTCCTGTAGTATTATCAGTTTTTATACATTTTCAGAATATTTTTTTGGATGCAGTGAAGTTAGTAATCCTGAAAACGCCTCTCTCACAGTCCATTTTGTTTGGCGTTACTGTAGCTACCCTGACTTTCTGTATAAGGTGTTAAAGCAGCATGGCTGATGGTACCTTGTGGGACCAGAGTGGGCGGGGCTTTGCTGGCTTACACACACCTGGATCCTGACTCGGGGATGGGGGTGCTTAGAACAACTTACAACCCACAAGAAACTCCTGCCCAGCTCAGCAAACCACAGTCTTCTCTGATTTTCACACCCCTCCACCCAACACAGGAACTCAGATTCAAATGAGATGCAGAAGGAAACATGGGGTACGAGCTTGTCATGCATTGCCACCCGTCACCCAGAGGTGATCTCTAAATGGGATCTAAGACCCTCACCCACACTACTGGCAGTTCACGTTTTCTCCTCCATCTCTAACTCACAAAATGCATTTCTCATAGATTAGCTAAGAAATAATGGAAACATGAAAATAGGATTGGGAGAAATATTGGCCATGAAGAACAATTCACGTTGGTAGAAGTAATGAGTTAAAAATAATGGATATAAAGCAAACAAACAAGCAATTTGATGAATGGAATTTTTACTGGGTAAATTAAATGGATAAATTAACATAGATGAAAACCATTTAAGTAAAATTAAAATGGAAAAAAGTTAAGCACATTTTACCCTCTGTAGAAAATTGAGCAAGATATTAGACAATATTAAGTGAGTTTTAATGAAATATTACCAATGTTGACACAATTCTGTTTTAAAAGTGCATAGTTATGAGAAACTGTCATTGGAGTTAAAATATCCTTACAGTCTACATGCAGTGTAGAATTATTGGGACCAAAGGTCTCCTACCTTCCTTCCTTTTAAATGTCCTCCAGGAGGACGGCTTTAGCTGCAGTTGAGGGCTCCCTGGTTAAACAGCAGGGGGCTGGAGACCCCCCAGGGTTATATGTTGCAGCTCTACAGTCTGTGTGTTTTACTTTAATAAATAGACTTGTCTGGCACTTACCTACATACACTTGTAATTAACTTTGTCCACATACTGGCTGCCTATCAGCATCACCAAGAGAGTGTTCAAAAAATACCCAAGTCCAGAGGCCCCTAAAACAATCACACTCGCATCTCTGGGTGTGGGCACGGCATGAGGAGAAGCCATGTGCAGCCTGGATGGAGAGAGCTGCCTCAAAGACAACACCTGGAGGGGCTCTTCAAAGGGGACGGCCCCCAGTCAGTGGGAAGGATGAAGGAAGGCACAGAAAAGAGCAGAGAGGACCACAGGGTCTGGAGAATAAAAACAAGCAGGAAGGAAGAGTGTGGTTAAGAGATGGTGTCAAGGATTATAAAGCTCTTCTGGATCTAAGTGGAAAAGGAACAAGCACACCCAAGTCATTATTTTACTCTCTGTGATGATGATGATAATAGTGACAATGACAATAATGACAGTGTTGATGGTGATGATGACGGTGGTGATAGCTGTGAACCCCAAGAAAAGAAATATAGCTGTCAAAATGGATTTCTCATTAACTGGGCCCAAATTTATAAACAGAGTCTAGCAGCCATTGCTGGCAGAGGCCTCTCAGATACTCTGTATTTCAGGAAAAGCCACAGACTGAGCTTTCATCCTCCTGCCACCTGAGTCAACCCTTATAAGGAAGTTTCTGGTTTCCTATTTCCACCCATGACTGAGACCTGACCCATCCAATCAGAACTGCACAATTATATCCTCATTTGCATCTATACCGACCAATCAGAAAGCATGATACTGACCAATCTGAACTGCATGGTTAGGACCAATCAGAAATGTACAATATGGAAATGTGATTTGCATAAAATGGACCATATTGGGTTTCTGGGTGGGAAGTTTCTGTAAAAGATGGCCTTGAGGGCCGGCCAAGTGGCGCGATGGTTAAGAACTGGCTTGGGACACCAGAGGGCCCTGGTTCGGATCCCACATATGAGGGCCAGTGACACTGCCCTCCACAGCTAAGATGCTGAACAACAGCTCAGCCTGGAGCTGGGNTCATTACTTTTCTATGGGTTCCAGGCAGGTAGTATAGATAGGTTGAAAAAACATTATAAATCTACAGAGAGAGAGAGAGAGAGAGAGAGATCTTTATATATACACACACACACACACGCACAGGACGCAGCATACTTTTGTGGACTGGACTAATAAGTTTCTCTAAACCTAAATGTACGGCTGTCAGTATTGTATTGTCTATAGTATCTGGGCCCACGGTGTCTTTCGGGGCGCTCCTCTGTTAGGCGCTGTGTGTTCTGTGGGGAAAGTGAACACGGACGCGCGTGTGACTGATGTTACAGAGTGGAACGCTAAGCGTCCGGGGCAGCGAGGGGGCGCGGGCGCCCACAGGAGGGCGCTCCGGGCCGGAGCCCCGCGCCCTGCAGGCCTGTCCGTCCTCCCGCCCGGGTTTCCCGCGCGGACGGCCGTGCGGACGGCGGGCACAGACGCGCGACCGGAGCGGCGCGTCACCTGCAGCCAGCGGGTGCCCAGCAGGTAGAAGTTCTCGTGCACCATCCGCCGCAGCCGCAGGCCCGACTCGTCGCCGTAGCCGAAGCGCCGGCCGAACAGGATGCTGGCGATGATGTTGCAGGGGGCGCCGCTGATGAGGAAGGTGGGGTCGAAGGGCCGGCCTGGAAAACAGGTGACGGGGGGGGCGGTCTGCGGGCGAACACGCAGCCGCGCCTGGGAGGACGCGCCCCGAAACCGCGACGATGCCCGAGACGTGTTCGCCTTCCGGTCATTCGCGGAGCCGCGGAGCGGAGCCCGAGGGCGAGCGCTCAGATATTATTTGAATTTCATTTCTTCACATGTNAACTCTTACCCAACACACCACTCGGCTGGCCCAAGTAGATATTTTCAACTATTCTATTTTAATTCCATAGTTTTTTTGAAAACTATGTATTCATATAGATTACATTGTAGTGCACTATACTATACTACATAACTTCCCATGCAATATACCACTCCACCCTAACTCTCAGGAAATTTAATTTCAGAATACTAGTTTTCAGTTTGTTCCAATATTTTCTCGTTTTGTAAATCAATTGCATTAATATTCACACGCCTTCTCAAGTGAATGTCTACCCTGAAATATGCACTTTACTAGCCTCTGCACCTGTTACTTCTGCACTACGCCTGGTCCCTCCTCTCCTGGGGTCCTGCTGCTGGGCGACTCAAGTCTTCTGTCCTTAAACAAGTTTCTAGGAGAAAATGGGCTGCAAGCACGTCTCCCCTCAATACAAGTGCTGGGCCTCGGTGCTCCTGCTCCACCAGCCCAGTTCTCTGCAGTGGCAAATCCTGTGGGATGACATTTTCTGACAGGGCCACTGGGCAGGCTCATGTCTCTCCTGCATACCCAAAAGAAGGTGAGCTCTTTAAGGCGCAGCTCAGGAGCCATAACTCCTGAGGAGTGGCCCTTTTCTGGGCACCCAGACAGCTGCAGGGAAGCACGGAGGGCGTGGAGTGGGGGTGGAGTTGAGAACGCACTCAGAAGACTTGATTTGAGGAATCTCTCCTGGAAATTTCCTATTATTTTGTGTGGTGAAAGGGTAGCAAACCCCAAAAGAGAAATTTGGGCAGACAAGTCTGTCGTATTTAATGAGTTCTTGGTTAAAAATAATGACCTTGACAAATGCCCAAAATCTTTTCCAAGTAAAACAAGAGCAGAGGACACAACATAGCAGTGTCCAAAGGGCAGGGCAGCTTGGCCCAGGGACAGTTTCCACATCAAAGGGACCACAGGTTACATGTGTGCTTCCTCATTGGTCACTTGGCTCTGCCTCAGAGCTGTCGGGTAAGATTCTGGGAGCAAGCCACACTGTTTGCCTACGTGCAAAAGCGTTAGCCCCTCTGGGTGGAGGCAGGACCCTCCCGAGCTCTGGATGGCGGCCTCCAGCTCACCAAGACTCCAGGAGATGCCAGTTGGTCGGCTAAAAATAAAAGACCTTTCAAAGCAAGAGGCAACAAGCATTTATTGAGACTCAAAACAAATTAGCTACTCGGGAAGCACCGATTCAAGCAGAAGTCCAAAGTGTGTTCCCATTAGGAAACAGAGGCAGCGGGTATTTACTGCCGCGTCCAGCGCAGCTAGTTGAATGGGCCAGAGTGGGGGCGATGGAGGATTAAGAAAAGATAGACAAAGAAGCAGTTGAAAGTGGGGGCTAGGTGGACATCTGTCTCTTGATGGGAGGGCAGTGACCCAGTCGAGCAGCCGTGGTTTACTTACTCTATTTCCCCATGTATAAGACGCACCCTTTTTCAAAAAATTTGGGGTCTAAAAACTGGGTGCAAGTAAAAAACCTACAACAATGAGTGCAAAAACAAGCACAAAAAAAGCAGGAAATGCAAGGAAGAAAATCTACAACCACTGTATAAGATGTACCCAGTATATAGCCTTGCTTATGCCAGGGCAAGGAAGGGGAGGCAATGGCCTTGGGCAGAGGATGTTCCCTGATGTTTGCAACCAATGTTGCAACAAATGTATCAGACCCAGGATGTTTTATCTCCAGGGTAAGGAAACCACCTCTGTATGCTGAGATGCTGTGTCAGCCCTGCCAAAACACAGCCAGAGAATGTGCCTTGCACCAACCTCTCCTTTACAGCTCCGGAAGGTGGTCTTGGTCTCCGGCAATTTATGAGAAGAGGAGGGGACAATGACATCCACAGAAAGAAGGCGCTGCTGTTGGTGCAGATAACATGACACAGTGACACTGATTCTAAACAGTGTTTTCAATTTTCAGCCTGGTTGTCATCAGTCCTGTAGTCTTATCATCTGCTTTCTTGTTGTCTTTGCAAACAGTTCTGTGGGACAGCAGGTTGCTTTAGGCCCCGTCCTAAGGTTACTTTGTCCTGTTTTAACATCTGAAGGTTTGAGGAGTAAGACATGCCAGGAGGTTCCTCTGGGACGGCAGCTCCAGCTCCATTTGAAGCGGCTCCTTTCATACTTTTTTTTTTTTTACACAGCCCATCAGTGCTGTTGGGCTTGGCAGACGAAGGGTGGCAAATGACTCGTTAGGGAAATGCAAATTAAAATCACATTGCAACACCACGACACACCTATTAGAAAGGCGAAAATGCTTCCTTATGTATTATGTAGGTAGTAATGCTACCTAACTGCTTGGCAACTTCCCTTCCAACTACATCTTGTGTCATGTCCCACAGCTTCCCTCCACAGGTAATTTTGCTTCTAATATTCTCTGACTTTCTTTAAATGATTTTCTATTGCATAATTGCTCTTATTTTTGAATTTCAAAAAGGGATTTCATAGCACGTATATTCTAAGGCCTGAATTTTTTACTCATTGTTACCTCTGGGCGCCCAGTGTGACATGTGGCAGGGCATTGATTACGTGCCTTGCCTGCTGTCCTGTTAGATCACTCTCAAGTTCTTGGTGTCACACAGTGTTGCTCAGAAACACTCTCAGGCATCTTTCCTGGAACACCTTTCAAGAGCGTGTGTAGGTCAGGTGTGTGCGTGGCAACGTGACACACGACACCGTATTATTTCTCGAGTGTCTGGAACCCTTTCCACTCTGACCAGTGTGTCAACATGGTCCTGGATGGTGCACACTCTCCAACACTTAATACTAGTAGGTTTCTTAATTTTTGCCCATCTAGTGCTATAAATTATATCTAATTGTGGCCCCAATTTGCATTTCCCTGATTATGAATGAATGAAATGTAGAATCTCTTTATAGATGTTTATTCATCAAAATTGTATCCTCTTCCATAAAACCCCTGCTCATGTATTTAGCTCATTTCTTAGGGTTTCTGTCTTTTCTCTTTGTTTGTAGGAAAGCTTCATCTATCTGGTTAATAATCCTTTTCCAGCTTCATGTGTTGTAAGGGTTTTTTCCACTCTTTGGGATAATTTTTCTCAGTATTTGTGGGGGTTTTTGTTTGTTTGTTTGTTTGTTTGTTTTGGATAGATACTTTAAAATTATCAGACTTTTATTTTGGGGTTAGCACTGTTTTGGGGTTTAAGAAAACTTTTTTTTTTAACCACAGAGAGATTAGAAAGATAGTTGCCTGTTTTAAAATTTTATCTTTCACATTTACATCTTAAATACATGTGGAATGAATTCTTTGTGGTAGGACTAAGGATACAATCAATTTTCCCAGACAGATATGAGCTGTCCCAGGGCCAGTAAGTAGGCCGAGGGCCTGGGACAGCGCACATGCTGCCCGTGAGCGACCGCTCTGTCTGTGGTGACACCAGCCAGGAACCAGGGCAGCACACACGCACTTTGTGAGGCTGTGATTTCCAAACACATGAGCCTTTTTCCAGTAATTCACTTGGATTATGTTTTTTAAAAATATTAGCCCAGGGCCAGCCGAGTGGCATGTTGGTTAGGAGTTGGCTTGGGACACCAGCTCTGAGGAGCAGGGC